CAAATGAAGCAACTGACAAAGGATTAATCTCCAAAATTTACAAGCAGCTCATGCAGCTCAGTATCAGAAAAACAAACAACCCAATCCAAAAATGGGCAGAAGACCTAAATAGACATTTCTCCAAAGAAGATATACAGATGGCCAACAAACACATGAAAGGATGCTCAACATCACTAATCATTAGAGAAATGCAAATCAGAACTACAATGAGGTATCACCTCACACTGGTCAGAATGGCCATCCAAAAAATCTGCAAACAATAAATGCTGGAGAGGGTGTGGAGAAAAGGGAACCCTCTTGCACTGTTGGGGGGAATGTAAGTTGGTGCAGCCACTATGGAGAACATGGAGGTTCCTTAAGAAACTAAAAATAGAACTACCATACGACCCAGCAATCCCACTACTGGGCATATACCCTGAGAAAACCATAATTCAAAAAGAGTCATATACCAAAATGTTCATTGCAGCTGTATTCACAATAGCCAGGACATGGAAGCAACCTAAGTGTCCATCGACAGATGAATGGATAAAGAAGATGTGGCACATATATACAATGGAATATTATTCAGCCATAAAAAGAAACAAAATTGAATTATTTGTAGTGAGATGGATGGACCTAGAATCTGTCACACAGAGTGAAGTAAGTCAGAAAGAGAGAAACAAATACTGTATGCTAACACATACATATGGAATCTAAAAAAAAAAAAAATTGGTTCTGAAGAACCTAGGGGCAGGACAGGAATAAAGACGCAGACGTAGAGAATGGACTTGAGGACACGGGGAGGGGGAAGGGTAAGCTGGGATGAAGTGAGAGATGGGCATGGACATATATACGCTACCAAATGTAAAACAGATAGCTAGTGGGAAGCAGCCACATAGCACAGGGAGATCAGCTCGGTGCTTTGTGTCCACCTACAAGGGTGGGATAGGGTAGGTGGGAGGGAGATGTAAGAGAGAGGAGATATGGGGATATATATATATATATATATATATGTATAGCTGATTCACTTTGTTATAAAGCAGAAACTAACACACTATTGTAAAGCAATTATACTCCAATCAAGATGTTAAAAAAAAAAAAAAGAACACATAGCAAATGTTGGCAAAGATGTGGAGAAAAGGGAACCCTTGTACTTTGGTTGTGGGAATGTAAATTGATGCAGCCATTGTGGAAAACAGTATGGAGGTTCCTCAAAAAACTGAAGGTAGAACTACCATACGACCCAGCAATTCCACTCCTGGGTATTTATCCAAAATACCCAAAAACAATAATTTGAAAAGATACATGCACCCCAGTACTCATAACAGCATTATTTACAATTGCCAAGATACGTCCATCAATAGATGAATGGATAAAGATGTGGTATATACATATGATGGAATACTACTCAGCCATAAAAAAGAATGAAATTTTGCCATTTGCAAAAACATGGATGGACTTGGAGGGTATTAAGCTAAGTGAAATAAATCAGAAAGAGAAAGATAATATGTGCTGTATGATAGCACTTATATGTGAAATTAAAAAATATAACAAACTAGTGAATATAACAAAAAAGAAACAGACTCAGATAAAGAGAACAAACTAGTGGTAACTGGTGGGGAGAAGGAAGTGGGGACAAGATAGGGGTAGGGGATTAAGAGGTACAAAATACTCTGTACAGAATAAGTTGCAAGGATATATAGTACAACACAGGGAAAATAGCCAATATTTTATAATAACTATAAATGGAATATAAGCTTTAAAAATTGTGAGTCACTACTGTATAACTGAAACATATATTGTACATTAACTATACCTCAATAAAAAAGAATTTGAAAAATAAATTAATTTTTTAAAAATAATGCATGTGTTGGCCCTCTATCTCCTAGACAGTAAAATAAAAAAGGCTGAACTAAATTTTCTGTGATCCTCTTAGCTCAAATGTCTTTTTCAAAATAACCAATTTATATTTTCCTCTTGTTTCTAAATATTTGGGACTTATCTCAAAAAGAGTCATTTATGTATTCCTCAAATAAACCATGCCTGTGCACGCCAATGAACTTTGGCCTACGTTGCCCCTGCAAGCTAAAATGCCTCTCTCCTACTCGCCATCTGGAAAATACCCCATCATCCTTGGAAAGATCAGCTTCCATGAATCCCTCTCTCTCACTCCCCAGGTAAGAATGACTCTGCCTGCCCTTCTCTGACTCCCACTGTACAAAGTTTATTCCTCCATGGCACAGGCTTTTGGTTTTGGTTTTGTTTTTAAAGGTAGTGAGTTGTGTCTGCTGTCTTCTTCCTAACCCATCTCTCCTTTAAGGACAAAACCCAGCTTCTAGCCGTTTCCCAAGCAAGTCTTTATCATACAAAACTTAAGTGATGGAAGAACAAGAAAAATGAAAGCAGAGAGGTTAAGGCAATCAGTATAATAAAGAGATGAGTCTGAAAGGGGACTGGAGAGCAACTAGACAAGACAGCATGGGCCAAGTTTGTGGGACAGTCTGGGGAAGCTTGCAGTGAACGAGGGGAGAGCTTTCAACAAACGGTGCTTGAATCATGCCAAAACGGTACCTTGGTGCCATGGCTGCTATTGTTGGTATGAGATATGTAGGGGAGGGGAGGAAGCAGATGTGTTGCTAGGCTGTACAAAAGGCATTGCCTTTGGCATTCTTAGAGATATTTCCATAGAGTTTAAATTGTTTGTCAGTCATTCTACATTCAGGGAAGGGGTGGGGGTGGGATGAACTGGGAGATTGGGATTGACAGACACACACTACTGTATATAAAATAGATAACTAATGAGAACCTACTGTAGAGCACAGGGAACTCTACTCAGTGCTCTACGGTGACCTAAACGGGGAGGAAGAGAGTGGATATATGTATATGTATGACTAATTCACTTTGCTGTACAGCAGAAACACAACACTGTAAAGCAACTATACTCCAATAAAAAAATTAATTTGTAAAAAATACCAAGAATTACAATAGAGATAATAAGTAGAATTTATGTTTCAAACAAAATAGCCCCGGGGCTTCCCTGGTGGCGCAGTGGTTGGGAGTCCGCCCGCCGATGCAGGGGACGCGGGTTCGAGCCCCGGTCCAGGAGGATCCCGCGTGCTGTGGAGCGACTGGGCCCGTGAGCCATGGCCGCTGGGCCTGCGCTTCCGGAGGCTGTGCTCCGCAACAGGAGAGGCCACAACAGTGAGAGGCCCGCGTACCGTGGAAAAAAAAAAAAAAAATAGCCCCTATATAATAAATAAATAACAGTTTTTCAGTCATTCTACATTCAAGCTATCATGTCTTTAAACATGACCGCACAGTGAGGATGGAGCTTTAAGCTAGTGACATCTGTCTTGTAAGACTCAGCAACTTGTAATTATACTTTCATGTCTGTTTTCTCCTCTCACCCGCCCCCAACCCTTCCTCCAGCCTCTCCATGAGAACAAGGACTGTGCCTTTTATCCACTTGCCCTGCTTCTATGAATGAATGATTCACTTAGAAAAGGAGACTTTCTCTGGAACCCTGCACACAATCCCCAGGCAGGTTCTAGAAGCATACAAACGGATACATATGGAAGGCTTCAGAGCTCTGGGGTCAAACAGGTTTGGGTTCTAATCCCAGCTCTGCCACTTACTAGCTGTGGGACCTGTAACTCCCTGAAGCTCAGGTCCCTCAACTGTAAAATGGTGGACATCCTGGAACCTGCTGCATAGAGCTGTTAAGACAACTAAATAAAATAACACATATTAAATTCTAAGTACAGTATCCAACACAAACACACACGTTATAGAGATACAGACAGCATATCTAAATATATTCAAACACACAGACGCATTCAGCTTCCATTCTGAAACCTCCCTGAGAAACAGTCTTATCTCTTAGGTATGTATATATTAAATCCAGCATTTTCTAAAAAGAGACAGTAACACTATCACCGTTACTATAAGTATGTCTAATGGACTGAAAGAGAGCATTGGGCACAACCTAAAAGTATATGCATCACTTTAAACTATTAATCTAACTTATTTACATCATATACATATCTATCTGTCAAGCAAAGGTTAATAGAGAGTTTATGAAATTGGGAATGCAATTAAGTCTCCCGGGAATCTCAGTTGGAGGCCATGCCAGTTTCTATGGTAACCAAAGGGCTCAGGCAAAAAATGAGGGGAAGGGAGGTGATTTAAAAGCAAGATAAGCCCATAAATATAGCTCTTGTCTACCTTTTCTTTTGAGTTCCAATAAGCAATCTTGGCTGCATTTAAATTATTATACAAAGGAAAGTATAAATCAGATTAGTCTTTCACCTCCTAGAATTAAATACATTTTTGCAAAATGTTTAAAGTGATTCCAGTTTTTAAAAATGTATCACTTCTCAGTTTATGAAGTGTGTCAGGTATGTCTCAAATTCCCCAGGGGAGAGAATAGGCGAGGGGACTGAAAGAACACAACGAGATATCCAAGATGTCCAGGATGATTAGACTATACTGTGAATAACCTTCTCAACACCAGCTAATTAGGTTTTACTTATGGTCTCAGAAATTGCAATTAGGCCAAAGGGAGAAAATGTAAAGAATTGGTTTTCCTGTGACAGATTTCACAACATCACTGAATTGAAGAAGAGTTTAGTGATCGCCTAGTCAAACCCTTGATTTAATCACCAAAAACGCTTCCCTTGAGAAATTAACTTAGCTCCCTAATTTAGGTGAGGGAACTAGATACCAGCAGAACCATGGTTAGAATCTGAGCTCCCTGACTATAGCTCCTACTGTAGTCTACACACCGCTTTCCTCTCCTTCACTTCTTTTTTACATGCAAAACTTAGGAACGCTCTTAACCAAGCAAGTCATTCCCAACTGCTGAATTGTCTGATTATTGCAGGTGGTCTGACTTGTTTTGTAAAACCAAATGAATCTTATTTTGGTACACTTCACCTAAGTTCTTAATTTCATTCACATTTAGAAGCAACTTCACATTTTCCATTAAGAAAACACTTTATGGAAGTTCTGGGAGTACCTACCTGTTTTAGCTGACAGTCCAGCAGCTCCGTGTTCATTGCCAGCAATGTGCTCCTGTATGTATCCCACATAGTCTGTGTTAAGAAGAGCCTGAAAGAGAGAGGCCACCAGAGAAATTCACATAGGATCCACAAAAGATACTGATTTAAAAAAAAATCAGGAAAATCCTATTGCATAGTCTCAAATTTTCATCCTGCAATCTCAAGTGATTCCTTTGTAAAGGGGAGATAAAATGGGATAAAGAAAAATAGAATAGCATTATAATTCAGCCAGCACTGTTAAAACAGTGAACTCCTGCTTCTCTCCCAAGGTTTGCACTAAATGAAATCTGAAGTTTCTCATTTTGTTTCAAATAAATATAATAGATTCCATAGTGGACATGGTGATCTCTCTGGGTCTCTGCATACATGTAAAAGTAGTGCTTGGTGCAAGTGAGGAGACAGGTGGCTGGACTAGAATCTAATTCTCCCCCTCTAATATTTCAAGACTGAGAAAGGATATCAAAAGTACAGATAAGATGCTATACTTACTTCTACAAACCACATTCTCTCTGAAATTCTGTCTTCTGATTCACAAACTGGAGATAATCCCAGCTAAGCATACCTCGCAATGTTATTATGTGGATGAAATGAGGGTGTCATTGGAAATTTTGATTTATTGTGAAACTCACCCTGGGTGTAAGAGCCACTGTGCTTGCCCTGCCTCTCTGTCCTCCTATGGGACACTTCCCCATCCACAGCCTCTATGAAACAGGTAGCCATGTTTTTTCATGTAACCCTACTGACTTTCACATGCCCATTCAGCTGATGCAAAGGACCACTGCTCCAATGCCTGGCCAAACACCTGTGTGGCCTTGCTCACAACAATAAACTAGATCAATCAGAAATTTGAACCAGGACACATGCTAAAAAAAAAAAAATAGTGTGTGAGCAGTGGGAAGTATAGTGAAAAGGTCCAAATGGACGGAGTGGGTCAAGAAGCAGAAAGTACGGGGAAGGAGGGGTCAGTTGCTGGCAGGACAGAAAAGAGACCCGAGGAGGGTAACTGAGTTTCACTGAGAGCGAAACACTGGAGTAGAGACCCAGGAGCTGTCATCACCAGGTCTCCCCAAAGCTTGCTGGAAACAAGATTCACCAATCTTTTTTATCTCGCTTCCTAAATAGTTCTCTGTATCTCCTCCACTGCCACTTTGGTCCATTGTTATAAAATTAGTCAATTAATTGGTTAATAACCCCCCATCATTCAACATCAAGAATTATTTTTTTAATCTTAAGAGTTTATTGGAGGAAAAATTGATTCAAATCGAGCAGCCCCAAACCAGAAATTGTTAGGAGGGCTCCACCAACAGGAGCTTGGAGAGAAACTTCCATAGAGAAAAGGCAGAAGCAAAGCAAGGCAATTATCAATTGGCTACAGCTTAAAGCCTGGCTGCCTATTTGTGACTGGTTGTCCTTGGTGTTTTCAATTTGTAACCTTGAGGCAGTTACAGGCTGAGACTTTGGTTTGCTTTCAAAGGCCGCCAAGGCATTAGAGTCACCTCAATCTAATGGCTTCCTTGTTTAATTAATTTAACAATTCCCCACTTTGGATCATCCACTCATATGTGAGAGATTGGCCCAAAATGTGCTATTAGCACCACTTTCAGTCACTATCAGAGTTAAGTTGCCCTTGTCTCATTGCGAAACACATAGGTTATGCTATCATATCCATGGAAAAATTGTTTTTGCTGTTTATCTCACTGATCATCTGGTTTTGGTTTCTCCAAGCACAGTGAGACCATCTGATTTACTGCTGATGGCTATGAACACGCATTTAAGACCTTTAAGAGAACACAGGTCACCAGGGAGACTACGATGAAAACTATTAGGAGGATAACACTAAAAACTGAAGTACACCCCTTAGCCAGGGCCCCCGTGAGCCAAATCAGTTGGTGTCAAATAAATCAAAGAATGTCCCCAAAGAGGCATCAACCTCTTTTAGTCAAGTGGTTTCTTCATTAATTTCTTGTATTTGCTACAATACCAGAGGTGCTGATCCAGCAGGTTGTATTTGCTACGCACAGACTCCTCCTTGCTCAGTCAGTAAATAATAAGACAATTCTATTGTCTAAAATCATCTTAGAAAGAAAATACAGGGACTTTTGTTGTGCAGCTATGGCCTTAGCAGTAAACTCAGCAACGGCTGCCGGAGTTAAGGAACATTATCTTCCCATGCGTTAAAAGAGAGAAAAAGCAAGTAGCAAAAAGGCAGAAAGAATAAGGGTTGTAAATTGCAGATGAAGATTTTGATCTATGATCTTGGGAGAGCTGTCTACCACAAGATGCAATCTGCTTCTGGGGAGGAATCTTCCTAGTCATTTAAATTTTAGATCTCCAGCTGGCGTGCACTTCCAAGAGTCTGGAGGACACCTTTTTTTTCTTTTTAAGGGCTTCAAATGCTTGGCTATCTATCTATTTATTTATTTATGGCTGTGTTGGGTCTTCATTTCTGTGCAAGGGCTTTCTCTAGTTGTGGCAAGCGGAGGCCACTCTTCATCGCGGTGCACGGGCCTCTCACTATCGCGGCCTCTCATTGCGGAGCACAGGCTCCAGACACGCAGGCTCAGTAGTTGTGGCTCACGGGCCTAGTTGCTCCGCGGCACGTGGGATCCTCCCAGACCAGGGCTCGAACCCGTGTCCCCTGCATTAGCAGGCAGACTCTCAACCACTGTGCCACCAGGGAAGCCCTGGAGGACACCTTTTTAATTGGGGGATGTGGACCCAAGGTTCAAATCTCTGCTGTTTGGCTGCCAGCTGGATAGTGAGGAGGATCTGGTATGGTCACTTCCAAAAAGATTCTGGGGCACTCTTTGTTCTCAGTGATTCCAAATCAGAAGGGCGGAAGAATATTGGAAATGTAAGTTGGGAGAGCTGTAGCCAGATATTTGAGGAAACTAGAATTCAGGATCTAGTTCAGTTTACGGATATACAATAAAACCTCAAAGACAATGAACAAGGCTAGAATCTGATATACCCAAGATTGTACTATAATATTTTACTGAAACATATTTTTTCCTCTACAATCACCCTCATATCTATCAAGGATAATCACAGTAAGACTAATTTGTTTGCAAACTAAGTCTAGTCTCATTAAACTTGGCCTGATTATTCACTTAAATGTAGCAACAATAGTGATTGACCACATAAACTTTTAAAAATCTGCTTTGCTAGAACTTTTCATAAGGAATCATAGATTGGACTTTTCAAAAGGCTTCCCCAGGCTAAGACGCCAAGCCAAGCACTCACCATCAGACTCCATCTGGAACACCTACAGGTTTGGGTGAATTCCTCTTGTCTTATAGTCCCCAAGATATTCTGAAGTTCCTGAGCTTACCAGGAAATGACCTTCCTTAGTCACCTGGTAAGGCTGCCAGGCACCCTCTAAACAAGGTACCAGGCCATTTTTTCCAAGGGGCTTTTATTGGCTCCATAAAGTCAACCTTAGTTCCTCAAAACTATCTGGTCATATCTGATTTATATTTTTTAACATCTTTATGGGGTATAATTGCTTTACAATGGTGTGTTAGTTTCTGCTTTATAACAAAGTGAATCAGTTATACATATACATATGCTCCCATATCTCTTCCCTCTTGCGTCTCCCTCCCTCCCACTCTCCCTATCCCACCCCTCCAGGCGGTCACAAAGCACCGAGCCGATATCCCTGTGCCATGCGGCTGCTTCCCACTAGCTATCTACCTTACGTTTGTTAGTGTGTATATGTCCATGACTCTCTTTCGCCCTGTCACAGCTCACCCTTCCCCCTCCCCATATCCTCAAATCCGTTCTCCAATAGGTCTGTGTCTTTATTCCTGTCTTAGCCATGGGTTCTTCATGACATTTTTTTCTTCTTAAATTCCATATATATGTGTTAGCATACGGTATTTGTCTTTTTCTTTCTGACATACTTCACTCTGTATGACAGACTCTAGGTCTATCCACCTCATCACAAATAGCTCAATTTCGTTTCTTTTAATGGCTGAGTAATATTCCATGGTATATATGTGCCACATTTTCTTTATCCATTCATCCGATGATGGGCACTTAGGTTGTTTCCATCTCCGGGCTATTGGGCTATTGTATTCTCAAACGTGACATTCCAGTCAAAGCCTTAGTAATATAACCAATGTTTCCAATCGTCTCCTTTTATAAGGAGAACAGATTCTTATTGAACTTATGCAAATAACTATATTGCCGTGAAAATAAGAATATTCAATAAGCTTCTGCATTCTGGACCTATCAGGTAGGGAGAAAAGCTAAATGTTTCAAATCTGTTTACAGAAATGGACTTTACAAGATTCCTGGGAGCCACAGACAGCTTAGGAGAAAATGATTTCCTTAAATCTGGAAAAATAGGGAGAAGAGATCAAAATGGTAGACGGTAGAGGGTGCTGAGCTCACCTCCCCCTAAGAATGCATTAAAATAGGTATACACACGGAGACTGATAGCAAGGAAGCAGCTGGGCTGTGTGGTGGCATGGAGACACAGTGCCTGTAATACGATATTTGAATTTCCAATTTTGTCTTGAAAAAATGAGTCAATCTGAGGATGGCTCTACAATCTCCATGGCTGCCGGTGACTTGTCAAAAGGCTCCTGTTCTGTCTCTTTAGAGACAGAGCCCTATGGCCACATGAGACCTTAGCACTGAGATTAATCTCCCATATTTGGAAGGCAGAAGTGGGCAAATTAAGCAATGTGCATGACTGAGCAGGTTGAATGCCAGAGGCCAAAGAGAAAATGATGTCAGCAAGCAGCAGTGTTTCTTGTCATCCTCTTCCCAGGATCCTGTTCCTTTCAACACACTGTGCATGTACTTCATGGGATGATTTTTGTAACGTTCATTTATAAAATACACTACACTATTAAAAAATACATCTACATGTGGAGCAGTTTTCACTGAAACAAACTGGAGACGGGCAGAAAGACTCCTGTACAGCCAAGGCTGTAAAGAAAGATCCACACGGTGTCGCGTAGGAGGGGAAGAGAAGCAGTCAGGCCAAGACCCGTGCCCCTGGCAGGGGACACACAAGAGAAGGTGGATTACATGAGCTTAGAGAGCCTCCCTGGGCAATGAGCAGTTCAAACCACATGTTAGGCACCCCAGCCCTCGGGAAGACAAGTCCCCTTAGCTGCTTTTGAAAACCAACAGGACTAAAAGGACGGCTGTTAGAAACCTAGACTCCACTCCTGAAGTGTGCCCAAGTGCTTGCCTAATCCCAGGAACAAAGTGGAGGAAGCAGATTCAAATTGCCTGGGACTCAGATCAGTTTCCCATGATCACCCCAGCATGAATACCAGCCCACGCCAAGGGCCCACTCTGGCCCCTCAAGCACAGCTCCCCACTAGGGCAAAGGGTGCCACTGTTAAGAAGAGTGCATAGTTGGGGGGATGCAGCTGGCTTAGACCTGGCACTACAACTGAACAGGGTGAGGGTGGCCATTACTGGCATTTGTAGAGGCAGCAGGTTGAAGGTGGTCTGGAACTCTGAATGGTGTGCCAGGACCCACACAGCACACAAGCAGGACCACACCGAACACATACTCTGGACCCTCT